AACTGTGTGTGTATTGCCAAGTGGGCACCAGGTTAAGTCTGGGAGTGCGTTGCCTTAATACCTCCCAATCTGGGAATACTTTGCAAGCCCTCTACCCCACCTGAGGCCTAATGGCTTTTATGGTGGAGTATCCTGTGCTGAATCTATTCATACAATTCACCGCTGTTAAAGGCAGGGGCTATTCACCACCATCGTCCCACCAGGTCAGCGTCTGCTCAAGCGCCATGCTGCACGCTCTATCCCGGTGTTTCTCACAAGACCCCTGGATTTTGCCACTTTCCTTGTGGCTGGCTCCTATGCCATCTCAGGGACTGGGGCAGGCAGAGGCTCTGTAAGCAGTATGTCAGGCTGTTTGCAGTGCCATCTACTAGCTCAGAATCCCATCATCTCCTCCTAAATCCCCATCTACGATAGGCTCAGATCTTCTTTTGTGTCTGGGATAGTGCCAGGCACATTTTCACAAACTACCCTCCACCCAATGCATTTACCCTTCCCACCTCTGCTGGACAGAGGAGCTGCCAGACACAGCCGGATGACTTTTTTGGATCCATGATGGCAGGAAGAAACGTTAGAGCAGCCAGTAAAGGGCAGGCACCCTGAAAATCGCCCTCTCCTCAGTGCGAGGATGACATGCTAGGAGCGGGCATTAGGGAGTCGTGAGTGATGGTGCATGCTCTGGGACTCTGCTGTTACTAACGTGCGGCACTTTATTTTAAAAGCACCCTCTGCATGTGCACAGCGGCAGGCCACACCCCGGGGCATGTGTCCGCCCCTCCTCCACACCATATCCAAAATCCCATGGTGCATGTCAATGTCAGGGTACAGGAGGTAGAGGCAGCAAAGGTGGAAAACAGCAGTCCAGAGAGTCCAGAGGCCAGGATAAAGACTCTGAAGAGCTCATGCCTCTCATTTCTCCTGCAGGCCACAGCAAAGGGCATCCTTTTGCCTTGTATTAAATGTGCCAGAGGAGATGAGGCCACCTAAGAAGGAAGTGCCTGCGGCCCAGGGAGTCCTGCATGCCCTCAGGCCTACCTGGTAAAGTGAGGGGCTTCACCTGGAGCGCTCTGGAGGCTTTGAGGCCTCTACTGTCCCTCACTTCCACGATGAGATGGAAACTGCCAGGGAAACATTCCACGTAAGAGAATCAAGCTTTGCTGGTACTATTTCAAAACAGGATGGGGAAAAATATGGAGTAGGAGGAGTGAGAGCAGAGCCTGTCCTTTTGGTGGTGACCCTTTCCGTAATGCCCCCACAGTCTCAAGGCCTGCAGGGCGATCTTTCTCCCTCCGTCTCCGAACCCACTGGCTGCTTCTCATTCTGCAGGGGCTATTCACCACCATCGTCCCACCAGGTCAGCGTCTGCTCAAGCGCCATGCTGCACGCTCTATCCCGGTGTTTCTCACAAGACCCCTGGAACGTGCATATCACTCCCACGGGAGGAAGCGAGGCTCCCACGGCTCACATGGCTAGCTCTTGTTCCCACACCTGGCGCAGAGCCAGGAGCCTCACCTCCTTCACCCCAAGGCCAACATGTTTTCATCCACAAAGCCTGGACTTTCCCCAAGGCCTGCTCACCCTACTTTATTGCTTTCCCCTCATCAGCCCCTTTGCTTGGATGGCTGCCTCTCCCAAACAAGACGGGGTTGGAGAAGTCTTGTATAGATCACCCTTGACATTAGTGACTCCATCTTAGAAAAAAAATGCCATCTTACATTTCAAAAGGCATCAAGCCAGCAGGGTCCAGCTGTTCACCTAATCAATAGAGACAACACTCAACCAGATAAGGGCATAATCCTTTACTATCAGTCTTCACCAGAGGACTCAAGGGCCATAAAACGAGCAGGACTTCACCGGCTTGACACGGCCATCTTGACAGACCCTGTCTTGCTGTCACTTGTAATCAGCACCCAGCATCTGCCCAAATCAAAGACTCGTCCTTGCAAGACATTGATGACCATCTGGATGTGGCCAAGGCACTCTCCTTGTCCTTGGAGAGTCAGACCTTAGACATCACTGTCCTTGGTCTGGTTTATTAACCTCTTTGTTCTATTCCCTTTTCTCATGATGTTAAATGTTACTTTGTTTGATGTAGAATGTTTAATTTATAACATTTATGTGCTGATGAAGTATACTATGTATGGTTTACAATATTGACTGACCTGTGGAGTGGCTTGAGTCTGTGTGCTCTGACTACTGAGTTAGCAAGAAGTCTAAGCAGAGTTGCCTTCTTGGGAATTCCATGTAGCTCATGGCTTTTAGGATTGAAATAGCATCAGTAATGGCCGGGCGCAGTGGCTCACGCCTGTAATCCCAGCACTTTGGGGGGCCGAGGCGGGTGGATCATGAGGTCAGGAGATCGAGACCATCCGGGCTAACAAGGTGAAACCCAGTATCTACTAAAAATACAAAAAATTAGCTGGGTGTGGTGGCGGGCGCCTGTAGTACCAGTTACTCAGGAGGCTGCGGTAGGAGAACGGTGTGAACCCAGGAGGCGGGAGCTTGCGGTGAGCAGAGATTGCGCCACTGCAGTCCAGCCCGGGCGACAGAGCCAGACTCTGTCTCAAAAAAAAAGAAATAGCATCAGTAAAAACCTGACCTTATGGAAAGACACAAATGTGCATGAACCTGGTTATGTCTGACCTTGCACTGCTCATGACACTCCTGTACTTGGGCACCCTTTCCCATACTGTCATTCTTGTTCTCTGGAGATCAAAAGAGACCTCCCAGACAATTGCCCATCCGTCTCTGGGGTTCACTACCATCTGAGCTTACAATGAGGCTGTAGACTGCTCAAGGGCCCCCACCCAGCTACCCTCAGGTTGCACTGTGACCTATTCCTTATGTTTTCCTTGACCCTCAGATCAACAGTACTTCAAGCAAGGTCAGTAGCAAGGCTACCTGCTGTGTCCTGCTTCAAAGTCCAGTTCTGTTGTGGAGAAGAGGGTGCCATTAGCAGACATTCTGAAGCTCTTTGAGGGAGAAATCAGGAAATACTAAAAAATGAGGGGAAAAATTTGGTAAGATCAGCCCACCTACCCACCCTTCCCCAGAAGATGTGTGTGCTCATTTCCTGTTTTATATTCTCAGCCCTTGGAACATTCTCAATGCATCAGGATACCGTTCAAATGAGCAGTTATCCAATTTAATTGCTCTTGAATCCAGAAACTTCTGGCTCTGTTGGTCTGAGCCCTGGTTGACCACACCCTGAAAACCTGGTGAGTGGATCCTGTTCTAACTACAGAAAGTATATAAAAGGCCCCTGTCCAGGCAGGCTCTGCTTCTGAGTCCAGTCTTCTTATCCCTATCACTGTGTTCTCACTTCTTTTGGACAACTTCTGATTTTGATTCTATGCCTTCGCTTTAACCAACACTGTTTAAATACACCTACTACCCACTAGGTAATAGGACTATACCAAAGTGAGTAAGATCTGTCACTACCCTTAAAAACAACTTACAATATAGCAGGGTGTAAAATGCACGAGCATCACTTATTGAAATGACTAAAGGAACAAGGGACAAAGGTGAACTGAGAATGAAATGTAGCAGGGCTTACAGTATAGCTTGGAAGCTGGTTTAGGGATACAGAAGAGCTGTTTTTATATCTAATCCCTGGCATGTGGCCATTGGGAAAGTCCTTCCTACATCTCTGGGTAGTTGAGAGTCTTTGTAGTCCTTGGCTCCCAGCCCAGCTCTCTTGATGACACCCTGCCCGGAACTCCTTGATCTGATCGGAAAAGACAGGTTTATGTGTACAGCCCACTGAGGGCCAGCCCATAGGAGGACTGTGCCTATGCCACCCATGGCAGCTTATCAAGATTGCTCTGTTTCTCCCACATTGGAGTCAAGAAAACAGGGGAAGAGCCTGGATCAGAAGAACTGGGTTCACGGTCCAAGTTCTTTTTTTTTTTTTTTTTTTTTTGTGAGACAGAGTCTGGCTCTGTCACCCAGCCTGCAGTGCAGTGGCGCGTTCATGGCTTACTGCAGCCTCCGTCTCCCAGGCTCAAGCGATACTCCCATCTCATCCTCACGAGTAGCTGGGACTACAGGTGTGTGCCACCACACCTGGCTAATTTTTTTTGTATTTTTTGTAGAGACAGGGTTTCACCATGTTGCCCAGGCTGGGCTTGAACTCCTGAGCCCAAGTGATCCACCTGCCTCTGCCTCCCTGAGTGCTGGGATTACAGGCATGAGCCACTGTGTCTGGCTTAAGCTTTGGTCCTCACCACAAGGTCTGGGACAAGTGCCTTTCTTGCCTATAACTTAGGGCTGATACAACCAATTGCTCCTTCATGTTATTGAGGATTAAATGAGAATGCATGCCGTAAAATATGACGGATCGCAGCAACGCTAGAGACTTACATGTTTATATTCATTTCTTCCAAAGGGCTTTAAGGTTAGAAGGTTTCATTATTTCCTGCTAGGATGAGGGATGTTCTATCCTCAAGGCCTTAGATCTCCGGATCAGATCATCAGTGGAGGTTTTGCAACCACAGCCACAGCCCCTGAAGTCTAGAATCAAAGGAAACACCTGCCAAGGTTTTCAACCCAGCGATTTGCTGTGTTATGAGTGCTGCTGAGCTTCCAGTACAAGAAGCGAGTGTGCACAGAAGATAGATGAAAGGCCTCCTTTGAGGCCAATATAAGGTTTTCAAGCCATTTTTAAATGTTTCCTTTTGTTTATTATTTAATAATGTTTTTCTAGTTGTAATGAACATATTTTATGCAAAACCGAGGCAGACAGAAAAGTCTAAAAAAGAAATGAAATATGCCACCTATTAAATCTCATTTTGGTGATTAGCCTTCTGTTCTTTCCTATGCAAACGTATACCCTCCATAAATAGTTGGATGATGTTATCATCAAAATTATAATATCTGTTCCTTGCATTTATATCTTGAGCATTTACACCTATTCTTAAGTCTTATTTTACAGGCTGGTTAGTTAACGATGGCACAGCATCCTACTACAGGGGTTTATTTTACTAAATCATTCTTGCTGATCATTTAGGTGTTTTCTGCTCATTTTTAAGGGGAAATATTTGGGTGATGCCACAGAGCACCCTTCTTCCAGCCCCACAAATTGTGCAAGTACCTTGGCAGTACTCCCAGATGTGGGGTTTAAATCCCAAGCTCCCCATTAATATGCCAGCTCATGGCCTGGCAGCAATTGCCTAGGCCTGCAGCTGCCCACACACAGAGCCGTCCTGTGTCTTTGAGCAGAGGCTTCCCTACAGAGAAGCCTCGCATATCCATAAATCAGAGCCTGAAGCTACATATGATAGAACAACTGGGTTTTAGAGACTCGTGGGTTGGGGAGGAGATTTACTACATGTATCTGAATCAGAGTGTCCTTCCACATGTGTTTTGAAATGCTCCAGGAGCTGGGTCTCCAATTCTGGTTGGTCCCAAGCATGATAAGGTCTTGGAATACAGAGAAGACAGATAGGCCCTACGCTCCAAAATCTTATGGTCAACCGAGGGAACAAAGGTTTGGGGAGGTGCTCCAAAGGGGATACTTACAGGATATGATGGGAACTCAGAAGGACTTTTAGACTCATCTGTAATACAAGAGTCACAAATTAGGGTAGTAAATTAAGTTTGGTAACTCTGGAGCCAGAATATCTGGATGTGAATCCTGGTTCATCACTTTCTAGCCATGGGAGTGCCTACAAAGAGTAATAATACCAGGGCATGCCTCATGGGTTATCATATAAAGTGCTAGAACAACGCCTGGCACATAGCAAGCTCTCAATAAATGTTAACTACTGCTGTCCCCTTAGAAGGGATCCATGAGGGAAAGGGCTTCATTTTATTCACTCCTATATCTTCAGTGACTAGCATATAATAGATGCTCAATAAATATTTGTTCGATGTTAAATATTGGGGTTTTCTTCTTGTTCATTTCCCATCTAAGTAAGATCAACATTCCCACCTTAGAGAATCTTAAAAAAAGCAACAACAAAAAACCGTCCTGCAAAACATTTTTTAAAAATCTATTTGAATGTGATAACGCTAGTCTTGGCTATAAAATCTTCTCCAGTTGGGCCCACAGTCTCAACAACTCATGCAGAAAGGAAAGAAAGGAAAAAAGAAAAACAGCAGCAGATAAAAAGGATGTGGAGAACTGTAGAACTAGGCATACGAGAATTTTCTTTTTAATTTCGATTAAGAGGGTGATTTCCTGGAATCTTGATATTTTTTTTCTTTTTAACACCAGGCTAATTTCTTTTTTCTCTGAACCTAAGAGCTGTGTTAATGGGAATAGCAGTTTTGTACTTAGAAAGGAGATAATATCCAAAGACTAAAAATATTGTCTCATGTGGCCATTTGCCAGCAACTCAGCAAGGCTCTCTGTAAAACCTGGCATTTTCTCCCCCTTTTTAAAGGCTTGTTTAATCAAAGCTGCTCCCTTGATATTCATTCTTGGAAAACAGAAATTAAATGGAATGAAAAGCAACTGCAGCCCCTCGCTGCCCCCAGTCCTGGCTAAGAAAAGTCCTGAGTAATCAGATCAATTCAGTTAACAAATGCTTGTCAGACAAGCTCTCTGGTTTTCCTGCTGGGAATATTTCTTTACCACCACCCCAGGTTTCTCTATTTGCAGCCCCTTTGCAGCTAGGTTTGCTCTCAGACACAAAAGCTTTAGTTTGGAAGACAAGAAGCCCATCCTTCCTGTCCCATTCACCCTTGATCGTGCCTTGGTGTAGGGAGAAAGGACGGTGGGAGGGAGCTGGCCCAGTTTCCAGAAATGTCAGGCTCCCTGGGGTAACAGGGGAATGCCACCTCCAGGCTCACTTCCCCACTGCAGTCGGAGTCACAGGCCAATGATTCAACCTGTGCCATTTTGCAGCTATCAGTTGCTTTCAGGCCTGCAGTAGAAACAAACAAGAATTCAGCCTCTTGTCTTTTATAGAATAGAGGAGTCAACTACCAGGCCACCGCAGGCCGAGTTTCCAGAGGGAAAGACCCTCATTCTGCCCACATCCAGGGAGTGTCAATGGCTCCACAAGCCACTGAGTACATGGCCCCAAACCCACCCCAGAGGGCCAGAGCACTCAGGACTGTGGCAAGTTACAAACATGTTGCCACATTCCTATATTTTTCAATGGAAGCTGAATATTTTGTAAAAGCCTCAATTCCTCTCTTTGTTTTCCCCTATTCCACCCTTGTCTCAGCTCAGAGGTGGGACGTGGAAGAGGAAGGAGGGAAGAGTGCCTAGAAGAAAAAGACTACCGTTAAAAAAAACTACCCACTGCAAGCCCTTAACGTGGCTCCTGCTTGTGGTTCATTGTTCTGAGGATGAGCTAAGTGGGTTACAGGCAAGTACTTGAATGTTTTTAAGAAGAGACATGATGACAAATGCAAAACGCTGTTATTAATGTAATCCTTCACCGATAAAGCTGCAGATCCTATGCCCTCACACTCTGTCATTCTTTTTCCATAATCGGCCTGGGTTCTGTGCTGCAAGATTCAGGCTTTGCTAATCTTAATAACAATGATTCCCATCTATTTGAGAGTGTCTCTCTCAACATACAAACAGCCAGCAGTGACCACATATTTGGAGTGGGAATTGTCCAATACCATTGCTTTTTCCTTTTATGAGCATTTTAACAAGAACCTGGAGTAGAATGAGGAACGCCTTTTGCTAAGACTTCAGGTGGTGACTCCTGAGTTGGCAGGCAGACACCAGGGCAGCTGAACGAGTGGGGCAGGTGGGGGTGTACGGGGGGACAGGGATGCTGTCACTCAGAAAAGAATGGGGTGGGAAGCCAGTGGCAGAACTTGCCAGAACAGAGTAGAAGGGAGTTGGGTCAGGAAACCCGGGGTTCTCACGGAGTTACCTGGCCCCTCAGTTCCCTCCCTCATCCAGAAATAAAGTACTGCTCAATAGACCTAAAAGATCCCATCCAGCTAGGACCCTTGACAGGGCCAGGTTTGGCATATGATGACCACTTTATTCACAGGAAAACAAAAACTCACAACCGGCTACCACTTC